CTGTTGTGCCTGTGCACTTTATCGTTTCACCGTGGGAGAGTACTCTCGATTCCTTTGTATGTCCGGTGCATGTGAAGTAACTGACATTAAAGCTGACTTTGACTTTGATCCCTTAAGGAAAATATGACAGGACAATGGGTTCAGGGAAGAGATAGAAGGAAAAACAAGGAAACAAGGAATCAAATGTAAAAAGACACACATCCACATCAAACCTAAGAGTTAAACCCAGTTGTGCACAGGTATAGAAATAACGGACAGAGAGCGATGGAGAAAGAGAATTAGAGGAAATGAGATAAACAACAAGAATGTCCGGTAACTACAGCTGCTGACTGCAGTCAGTATTGATGTTCAGTGCACATCTGCTAAATGAGCTCATACATATTTTATGGCCATTCTTTTCATCCCAAGTTAAATCAGCTTATTTTCTTCAAATCAGCTTTGCTCTGTGTGTGTGTGTGTGTGTGTGTGTGTGTGTGTGTCTGAGCCTTTGTATACGAATGGACGAGTTTCTGACTGCGAGTACAGAATGACTGATTAGGAAGAGGCCTTCAACCCAACCCCACCCACCCGACCCATCCTCCATCCTTCCCATCATCTTTCCACGCCGTCACACTTCCCACCTTCTTCTTCTTCATCTTCCTCTCGTCCATATGCTATCTATCTTCACCTACCCTCCTCCTCCCTCGCTACTTTTTCTGTCTCTTTCCGTTTATACCTTTAAAATGTACACACACTGCGCAATCACTCTGGGGCTGTTGTTGCCAGGCAACATTGTTTTCTGCTGCTCAAACAAAAAAAGAAAGAAAGACTCAGTGATATTTAGCATAAAAAGAGAGAGAGAGAGAGAGATGGAGAGTAGAGAAACATACCGAGACACAGTGATAAAGTGTGAAATAACACATGGACATTTGTTTTGTTGTTTGTCTCTCTGCTGTGCTGTTATTATACAGTTTGTATAGAGGATTCTATTAGCAGTCCCATGCAGGGCTGGAATCTGCTGGCTGCTACTGTATGCGTGGGACGACAGGTGACTGACTGTGCTCACAATGTACCTGAGTGTCAACAACAACTACAATGGGCAGCAGCCAGAAAATTAGTGCCCCCATCCTGTTGTGTTCTGTGCTTTCCGCTGCTGGGCTCTGGCATGCAACAAACAATCTCCCCTCAAAATAAAGCAGTCCAACGTGGGGGATCCATTAATGTCAAATCCATTAAAGGATTAGTCTGGTGATAGTCTAGAGTTTTTCTTATTGTCAAAAAATACCATAAAAAGACTAAAACCAACAATGAATTGCCTCCATTGGTGTCCAAAAACTATTAAATACTCACTGGAGCACTTAATCTACGGCTGACAGTACGTCTTAACTAAAACCAACAATGAATTGCCATAGACCTCCAATGGTGTCCAAAAACTATAAAACATTTCTTTTTCCTATTTTAGTCATGTTGCAAATTACAGCACCAATATTTTTTGGAAAATATTGATTGTCTTTTAATAAGGAGACTATATATTTGCTGTTATTGTCAAGATTTACATCTTTAAAAGGAACAATGGTGCTTGGGATTGAGAGTCGCCATTATTGGTTTTGGCCTTTTCATATGATTTGTTAATAGAGGTATAATGAAATACTCACAGTATTCACAGTACTGGGTTCAGGATATGATTTTCTCACAATTTCTTTAACAAAATAAGAGTGAGGAGGAATTATATATAATTTATTATTATTATATTCCTTTATTTCTCTGACAAAAATCTACAAAATATATGTTCTCTTATATTTTTTTATCAAATTATATTAATATCATGATTCATTTTTAATCTCACTGATTTGAATCTTCACATATTTGTATCACAATCTTGTGATCCTTACACTACTATTTGTTAATAATAACAAAAATATATATTAGTGCTAGCCTTATCCCTCAAGCAATACCTCCTGATTGGGTAGGAAGAGTTGGCCAGCCATGCCTACATTTTACAATCTAAAAGATCTGCCATCCCTCATTCTCTTGCATAACACACATCGCAACACGTCCTTCTGCACTGACAGTCATCTTGTTTGTTCCCAATCTAAGTATTCTGACAAACTGCTTTTGACAAGCATGGCACGGACCAAACTGCCAGCTGGATTTGCATCCGCTTGAGTCAGCAAATGGAAATTCATTTGAGTTTACAGAGTTTCTTCACACATGCACTTTGTTCATGTACCCAAATATGTGAACATTTTGTTATATTTAGAGTTATATATAGATATAGTATAGAGTTATATTTAACAGGATAAGGGTGGTTATCTTCTTCTCTTCTCTCTCAACCAACAGCTACTGATCCTTCTAACATGTAGTGCCTTTGTCATAGTCAATCCCACATTAACTATTACATACTCACTAGACTAGAGGACTAAATCTGTATTAATCCGCTGAAAATACCCCAACAAATCCACTATTTAGTCCTGTTTGAGTAATGTTTACTAAAAAAAACTACAGTGCCCAGTTGATTTACAAAATTGCTCAAAAACCTTAAACTTTTACAGCTTCAGCTGGAACAAATGGAATCAGGGCTGAGCGTGCGAGACAGCGTAGGGAAGTGAGAAAGTACTGAGAGATGGACAGATGCACTGTTTGTTTTGGTTCTTCTAATGGGATTTGTTGACGGCAACAAAAATATAGAAGAATATCAGCCTTATTGTTAAATCATCCATTCATCACAGCCAAGAAGTATGAAAGGAATCGGAGTAGGACAAATTGAATTAAATACTGTAAGATAATTAATCTGAGCATATATTAAGTTAGACTGGAGTCAGCGGCAGGATGGTCCATCAAGTTGGCAGGCTGCGAAGTTGTGGTTAAAGCCTCGCTAACAGCTTGTTGCATTAATGATGTACGACTTTAAAACGGACGTGAACAGAAAAATCAAATGACGCCCGAAGGCGCAGACCAGATGTATTGCAGTGAACATACTGTTGAGTCACGTGTGTTCACCTGCGCTCACATGTCGCGCTGTGAGTCAGACATCGCGGAGAGAGTGAGAGAGATCCAGAGAGAGTGAGGGAAAGGAGGGGGTGGCTGGCAGAGATGTAAATGGAGGTAATGTTCCTGACCTTCTGAGCTGTGGGAGCTGAACTTTTCCTCACAGACAGCCCTGCTCTCTGTAAGGAAAGACCCAGCCATGCAGTTAAGCCAGGAAAAGTAGTGTGGAGCATCATTGTGTGTGCACCTGTGTGTGTCTGTGTGCAAGTCTGCATGTGTGAGTGGATAATAACACCATGGGTGGCTGGCTATTACTTGTAATGGTGACACCGTTCTGACCTTTTGAGTTGTGGCACGCTGTCTGCAAGAGGATCCCACACTTCGCCAGTTGGGCCATTGATGACAATCAGCCCAACTTTTGGCTCCGACCTACTAAAAGGTGGGGTTCCCAGCATGCCTCACACGTAAGCAGGGAAACCTAACACCCGGCTATAAAATGTTTTCTCGTGACTAAAAGAGCTGGATATGTCAGAAATGGTTTAATCCTGACAACTTGATTAATTCCATGCAATTAAACTCACTGGCCTTTAAAAGCAGCCTCTAATCTCTCGGTGTAATCCTAATTCTCGAACAGAATAGATCGGCAGTTGACATTTCGACAATTAAAATGTGACGTCACCCAAATCCACAGCACGCACGATAATCCTTACTGCCATTTAAACCCAACACCTTGAGACGGCATGCTTCGGAGGCCAGGGGAATTTATTAAACATGGACATCCTCATTCATGGTTCAAATCCCCAGGTACACACACACACACACACACACACACTTTGAAGTGCACGTTTCAACATACACTTCCAAGCCAAGGTTACCAAGGCAACTGCAAGTGATGGACATTTTTCGTTTTGCCGAGCTGACAGAGAGAATTTTTACCCTTAAAAGATATCTTCCTCCCTCCATGTAGGCAGATAAACTCTCTTTCCTTTTTTCGCACACTACTCAGCATTTTCCGTCTCGCATAACCCCTCTCTTTGCAAGAACTCTTCACACCAGCTCCAGTTCTGTCACTCAGGGCACTCTCTGACATCGTATATTACAAACACACACAGCACACACACACACAGTCATTTTGCAAAAACAAGGCAAGCTCCATCTCTTCTTCTTTGCTCTCTGGAAGTGATCACTACGGAGCAGCAGCAAAGCCCACTTCTCTGCTT